GAGCCCAATCAGCTCTGGTCTCCACCAGCGACAAACTGCTTATGCTACAGACAACTCTTTAGCCAGAGCAGATGTTACTTTTGTTTGTTTAAATAAGCCCCATCTTACTGGGAAGCTTAAATTTGCTGCTGATGTGCTCAATTCATTCCTTATGAAAGGACCAGTGTGACAGGCACCTGGTGCAACAGCCAGAATTTGAAGTCGCTCTTATCTGTGTTTGAATTCCAGCACTATGTCTCTGCTCTTACTTCCTGTGGCTTTGAGTAAGTCACTTTGTATTTCTCAACCAAATCTTTGAAATGAGGAACTGGGACTTTTTAAGAGGCTGCTAAGAGGCAAGGCAATGTCTCTGAAATTTTAGCCACAGTGGGCATGACATCACATAACACCAAATCGCACAGCAAGCAAATTGTTAGCACTTTGATTCTCTTTCATCCCATCAAATCATATTAGGAGATGGAGACATTTTTGAAACCTAACTTAACTAGTTCCTCCTTTTAACAGTGGTCTCAGGCCACTAGACACACTATCAGCCAACTGTATGCAGTTGGAAATTAATAATGTCGATTTACATTTATTTTGCTTTAGTTTTATAGCATGGGGTGCCTATTTAATGTAGTACTATAAAATTGTCTTCAAGTATATGTAAGCCAAAGTAGTAGGTTAAAAATATTAAGTAATGGTACACACAGGTTGGTATATACATAGGGAAAAAATAACATGATACCCCAAAGTCCAAAGTTTGGAGAAAAATTAAGTTATGTGACAGCTCCTCACAAATGTTTAGTCAGTGTTTCAGGGAAAGTAGAAATGACTGAGCCTATCCTTGTTCTCAGGTTTCGAATAAGCTCTTTAAGGAATGGAATTTGGGGGCTGGTGTTGTGGTACAGTGGGGAAAGCCACTGCCTGCAACATCAGCATCCCACATGGGCACTGGTTCCTGTCCCGGCAGCTCCACTTCCAATCCAGCTCCCTACTAATGGCCTGGGGAAAGCAGCAGCAGGTGGCCCAAGAGCTTGGGCTCCTGCAGCCCACATGGGAGCCCCAGAAGCTCCTGGCCCCTTGGCCATTACGGCCATTTGAAAGAGTAAACCAGTGGATGGAAGAGCCACGCCCCAGCCCCACCTCTCTCTCTGTAACTCTTTCAAATAAATAAATAGATCTTCAAAAAAATAAAAAAGAATGGAATTCAAGTGGGCAGATTCTGATGTCATGGACAACCTGCTCTGAGTGCAGAATTTATCCCCCTCCCTTGCTCCCAGGCTGACCCAGGCTCAGAGACTTGCAAATGAACACAAGCTGGAACAATCATCATCTTACATTTGGTTAGTCTGTAGGTAAAATTAAAACAACAAATAACACTAGATTGCACTGGTTTTTGATGACAAGCCTTGGGAAGAAGGATCCCTATTTCATCATTTCTTTGATGTCAAAGTGCTGTGTTGATCATTATTCTTGGTGAAATTAGGAAATGAATGTCAGAGAATATCACCATTGGGCCATATAACCTCAGCAATGTGATGAAAGACTAAGGGCTAGGAAGGGAGGGAGAATCACATTTACATTTAAATAGATATGGGCTTTGCTTTTTGTTATTTTTACTAAGAAGGACCTGAAGACCCAGAACTATTCAATTGTTGACTACAAATTTTTGGTTTATTTTCCCAGGAATGATACTTGTTTTTACTATGAATCACGATTGCACAGAGTTCCTTAAAACAAGACATTGCTCATTAAACCTAAGAAGGACAGACAAGAAGAATCTATCGACTATAAACTGTCATAGGAAATGGATTTTTTTTTCACTTGAGCTATAAGTGAACCCACCAGCTTTGTGATAATCTACTATATGCAAGTCATGTGAGTTGTTCCAAAGCAAAAGCACCAGATTCTGACATTGGCTTTCTGCTTGTAGCCATTTAAAACTAAAAATACCTCTAACAGATTCAAATCCAAACACAGTGCAAAGGCTCATTCTTCCAAAGAGTTCAAGAGACTTTATCTTTTGTTCTGCTTCTGCCATTACTTTGCTATGAGCAAATCCCACCTCCACCCAGGACTCATTGGACCGAGCCATAAAATGGGATGAGAGTCAGACACTCAAATGCCAAAAAGGGCCAGGCAGGTGACATAAACAAAGGGATCTGGGCTGAGTAAGATGACAGGCAGCACGGTGGCCATGGTGAACAATATGGCATGGCTCCTCTGAGAGTAACAGCCACTAACAGCTCCAGGCAATTGCCAATCAGGAAAAGAGAATTTGAGCTACCAAGACAAATTGGAAATCTTTCAAAATCAAACTTCTTTTCATATATTATTACCAGCAATGAATAGAAATGATTTTTAAATGTGTGCAGGTAAGTGAGCATAACTGTGGGGGCAGATTCAGCCCGTGCATAACCACACAATGATTTCTGTCATACACAGTCTCTTAGAGATCCTGTAGCCTTAACTTCTACGTGGCAAATCTTTCTATACTGTCCATAAAGTGGCCAAGTTGGCACTGTGTAAAGCTGGAGAGCAGCTGGGGCTTGGAGGCTGTTGGGGAGACAGCGTGTTCTATTAGTGGCTACAGAGGTTGAGACTGCCTAGATCCAAACACATCTGCACAAGTCATAGGGCACACTGCCCCTGTTGGCAGGTAAGACACGAGTGAAATAATAATAATGCCATCAACAATAACAAAGCCACCTTGGTTTTCAATGATGGGTATGCCACTTCTAAACTTTCTAGAGTTGTTTTGTTTGAGTTGTTACCTATTTATTGATTTTTTTATGGACAGGAAAGGAAAAACTGTCAAAGAGAACAACAGAATTCCTAATGCATACACAAGAGAACAATTATGACTTTACTCTCTGCTTCTGCTTTGGTTAAGAAAGTGCTGCAGAGATACCTCCCAGCCTCCAGAGGGCAGTATCAATACAGAGCAGTTGCTTGAGTAGGTAAAGGTGCAAAATAAGAATTGGTGGTGTTTTATCTTTCTTAGTGTTTTTGTCTTTTCTTGTTCTGTATCCAGCCTCAAAGGAATCCCCACACCACTTCTGTGATATGGAACCTTCTGTGTGGCAGGAAGTAAAGAGAGGTAAACTTGGAATAAGCTTCCCTCCTCCCACCCCCACGCATCTCCACATCAATTTTTGGCTCTTCTACATTGGCTAAGGTCCCTACTATCTCTATAACTCAGTTTCTCAAGAAAAGAAGGGTAATAGCAATTATGACCTCAGTGTTGATGTAGGATTAAAGCAAACCTTATCTTCCCAGGGGGCATGTCTAGCCTACTTTGGGGGTACTAAAGAGTGTTCTCTTACAAAGTTCTAATTTTCTCATCTAAATTCTTCTACTGTAGAGTTCATCTGGTAATCTTTCACCTTCCATAATGGGAAATGATACCCAGAATAGAATCATTGGTTTGATTGGGATAGAATCATATGGAATTATCACACTTCAACATTATTGATCTACAATATGGCTATTCTGTGTGGTTCAATGTATACAAATGCAACCACAAACCCAAAGGAGGGCAAAGCAGCCTTTCTTTTTATACTGGCTCTGAAACACACCTAAAAAACTCATATTCTTTACAACAGAGAAAGGTGAGCTTTTTGGAAGGGGGACAGACATATTTTCATCACAAGTAAACTAACACTGGGTATCTACTTCCAGCATACACAGTGCTTTGCATAAACACAATCTCTTTGAACCTCACAACCACACTGGGGATATATATAAACACATAACTCTCCACAAGCTCCAAGGTTTGTCCCTATTGGTGTGGCCAAAGCTATGGGATGCATAATGTGCTGTCATGGTTCTAGCCTACATATTCACACACTAAAGAGTATTTTATTTAACATGGAGAACAATGTAAAGAAATATGAATCAGACACAACATAGTTCCACAAACACTCAGACCAAATGGTTGGGTACCTAGAACCACCACCCAGGTCAGGTACTCCCAGCAACACAAAGAGTGCCTAATAGACTGCTCTATCTTAAAAATTACCTTTCATGCATGAAGACATCCAAAAAATCCACCATAAAACCCCATCAGATGAGAATGCCCCAAATGGATTTCATCTACTCTACATCTTCAAAAAATACAATCTTCTGTGACACTTCTACAGGTGGTATCAAATCTGTTCTCTGTTCATTTTTTTCATACAACAAACTTTGGAGCTTTTTTTTTGAGAATCTACTATGTACCAGGTCTTATTTGAGGCCAGGGTGGGCAAACCACAAGCCCACGGGTTAACTTCAGCCCACTATAAGTGAAGAAGACCATATGCTTTCATTTATGTGTTGGATATGGCTACTTTTCAGCAGTGCTGAGTAGTTGGACTGAGATCATTTTGTCCACAAAGAAAACTATTTACTATGTGGCCATTACAGAATAATTGCTAACTCTCTCCCAGGTAAAGAAGGTATGGCAATGAACAAGAGAACCGAAGTCGCCATCTATCTCTGGATACCCCTTTTTAGAAGACTGCATTGGATGGTCCCTTATCACTTAACCCAAGGGGCAGCCCAAGTCTGACCTATGGGATCATAATCCAGGCTACACAGGTAGGGGCTTGCAAGGAAGAGGAAAAAGTGTGACAGGTGTGGAGAGAGAGTTGTAAGAGGGAGCTGGAGAGAGATGCTGGGAAATTGGATTAGTTAGTGTAGAAATCAGGCAGCTTCCAGCATTCCCACTGAGGTGTACCAAATCCCACGGGCCACACCCCCCATGCATCAGAATCACCTGGAGACATGATTAAAGTTGCAGGTTACTGGGCCCCACGTAGGAACCTGAATCTGGGCTCCAGAGGTATGGCTGAGCTTTCATGCTGTTAACATGGCATCCCCCAATGATTCTGAAGCATGCGCAAGTGTGAGAGACACCACGCCAGATTAGGGTTCAGTTTTAGTGAGTGGTTGAAGACGCTCCCAACACGGTCAAGCCCCAAGTGCACTCCCAGCAGGTGAGAAGGGGAAAAGAATAGGGCACAGACACACAAAGGTAGATGCAGCGAAAAGGCAGTTTATTGTCTATTAATACTGTACAGAGGAACAGAGAGAAGCTACAAGTACAGCATCAGTTGTTGCTGGCAGTGTTTTCTCAGAAGTCAGTTTTTGTTTTGATTTTCATCTGAAGGAAACAGGACCGTCAAAGTACACTTCAGGTTACAAAGTACAGCAGCTAGCCCAGCAAGTCTAATTCAGAGGAGACACAACAGACTCCCACCCCCCGCCCCCACCACCCAACCACAAATGGGTGTATGTACAGAGATGTCACTCACCCCAAGTGAGCTGCTAAAGCTGAAAATTCCAACAACAACCTACATTCACGGAAAAGCTGCATCAGACACAACATTTTCTGGAACCCCTGTATGATTTCACCTCTCCTAAGTCAGGAGCATGAGAGGAAAAAAGAATGTTCCAGAACCCTGTCAAGGATAAGAACTCTTCCCACTCACCAGAACAGGATATCACAGAATTAATCGGAGCTATATGCCAAATAAGTTCAGGTCAGGCATTGCCTGGTGGCCTCTTGGTGTGTAAAAGTGTGTTGTTGCAAAACCAAGTGGCTGGATTGCTCCCTGCCCACCTAACCTCAAAACTGAGGTTTCCTTAGTAATTGGACTAAATTGGCCCTCCCTCAGCACCTTCAGGCAATTAGATACTTCTTTCATTTTTGCAGTGGTCTCCATGATGGCAATGTACACAGCTAGGCTTGAGCTGGGTTTGTTGGAGGGATACTGTGATGAGGGCATGACAAATATTTCCATGGGAACCAGAAGAGTTAATTTTTCTGGAAATGGAGAGTGTTTATGACCTTGTCATGTAGGAATGAGGACCTTGAGCTGTTAGGGTAGGGAAGGATACTGCCTGCTAAGACAGTCAAACAGGAGTGGGCGTCAGAACGGACGCTGCAATTTGATCCATTCTGTCGGGCAGATAGAGAAACAGGTGGAGGTGAAGATCTTGGTGAAACTGAGTGTGATCAGGGTGGGAACACAGGAATTTGGCAGAAAATTGGAAAAAAAATTAAAAATTCTAAAAATTCATAATCTCTTTTATGGATGGATAACAACAATCTTTTCCCATCTCTACTCAACTCTGGAACTAAGACACAACTCCAGTGATAGGTACAAGGCCAAAAACACCTGGCAAGTTTTTGAATTGGTGGCTCATACATTTATGCATAGACTGAAAGTGGCCAATCCTTGTGACTCATCATTTCACAGGTATCACCAATATCACCAGAGTGAGTGGTCCCTTCACTGCAAATGCAGCAATTACTCCCTAAATATGTGGAAGAGTTGGACTTCAATCATTGCTAGGCTTGGTTTGCATTTACAATACCCATCTCCTTCCAAAAGACTATTAGTTTTGTATGTATTTTTGAAAGCTATCAAGTTTATCTGATGGCGGGTATAGAAAGGTTAATCTTTTAACCTCAGTCTGTTTGGAAACACTGGATTTCAAGCAATGGCAGTACATGGCCAGGTCAGAGGACCAAGATCTGGGAAGGTGCTGTACAATGCACCGAAAGTTACCATCATGGAATGGAGAAATAACTCAGTCAAGGGTGTTTTCAAACTGAAGCTCTATAATGCATATAGATTTCATTATAAAAATATTATTCCTTAAAAAATACATAAATGTAAAATATGCCTTTTCTCTAGCCACTCCTTCCTTCCATCCCTATCATGCTACTTATCCTAGACTACAATAAATGGACATAACCGCTTAGCTACGGCTCAATCGTACCATTGAGTCCACGTCTCTTGTTTTTTTTTTTTTTTTTTTTTTCCAAGCAATGCCAATTGGGCTTAAACATATGCTCCCAGCCCCAGATGGGGGATCCACAAGTTTACTTTCCCCACAGTGGGACGCACTGTGAGGGAATGAGACTGAAAGAAGTCATGCGTTTTAGGTGGCCTGCCCCAGGAATGTCAGAGTGTGGTTTTGCAGGCTCAGATGGGAACACAAGTGTGTTCAGTTGGAAGAGGGGCAGAAGGAAGGCCCAAGCCATGCCCAATTTAGCCCTTCTGGGCACAGCTGCAAGGTTCTGCCTCAAGGCTCCTGGGATGAAATTCCCAGCTCTGAGGAAAGCTGGCAGGAGTAGGGAAGAGAATGTTGTGTTCATACAGCTTTGGAATACAACTGCGTTTTTTTCAAAGGACAGAAAGGAAAAACATAAACAGTGATGCTAAGGCAAACTGTCAAATGGCACATCAGAACTCTTTTTGTCATTCATTTTGTTAACATCACAAGGCAGGTACATTCTGTAAACATATATGCCATACAGTACATTAACCATAAGAACATGAAAAGGAAGCCACCCTGTACTTCTTTTCTTTCTGTATTTCTGTTCTTTCACACCAGAAGGACTGCCTGAAATCTAGGGAGAATGTTATGATTCATGAGATACACTTTGCTCTTGATAAAAATACAATGACTTGCAAAAAACAGCCCCAGGTGACTACTAAGAGGCAGTATGAAGGGAAGATGACCATTCACACCTCTACCTGTATAAACTTATAAAATAGTCACAAAATATAAAAAAGTCATTAATTTCAGGAAACATTTTGTCTTCCTGCTTAGTAAAAGATTAGAACATCGAAAAATTATTATTATTTTATTTTTTTACAAAAGTTAAGGCTGTCCAGATCTTTGCTGCAGAAAGTCTGCAGTCCCTAAAATTATAGATGATGTTTCCTCATTGACAGCAGGTGTTTTGTGCGATAATTCTGACCTTCTTATGTTAGACCAGAGGGGAGAGGGACAGAGGCCTACTTAAGTTATAGAAAAATTACCTGGGAGAAGTTGGTCTAAAGATCTCCAGGGAAATTTCCCTTTGAAATGTTCAGACTATGATTTTTATCCTATACCTTCCTACAAACAAACAGTAAATACTTTGGTATTTGTTGAAATGGGAGTTGTATTAAGAACTCTGCCGAAGGTATGAAAATACAGACATCTAACGGCATTGTGCTCCTACATAAAAGACCTCCTTTTCCTTAGAAAATGCAGGGAAGTTTTTCCGATAAAACCAGAGATACCCCATCTGCCTCATTACTTGAAGTTGTTTTGTGATCTACCCCAGTTACTCATGCTGTTGCTTTGTTAGACGATCCAACAGCTCAAGGGATAATTTCTGGTTTTATCCACCTACACGGATTCAGTGTTACCTTGATGAAGAAACTGAGGAGCTCCCAAAAGTTGCATATTTCTAAAGTTTCTGAAATCTATGTCTTAAATATGCTGAGAGTCTGTGGTTTCAATAACAAACATCCATGTTGCAAAAATACAACATGAAACTGCTTAACTTGGCATGGGTTTTGTTGTAACCTGACATCGAAGGAGATGAGAATATTTCTACAAGGAATAGACCCTTTATGCAGTGAACCTCTCCCGTCCATCCACTGATGAGCACAGATGACTAAGCGTCTAGATTTTAAGAACAAACAACAGAAATCCTCAGTACATTTTCTGCCTACGTGCATCTGTGTTTTAAACTGGGAGGGTGAATGCTTTTTCAAACAGGAAGACCTGATACAGTAATCTGAGTTTTGCCTCCATCATTGTATTTTCTCCTTGCTCTTTTGCTACCTATTGGTTCACTGAGAGTAAACAAAGGGCAATTTTCAAGGGTGTTCTGTGGTCCCTTGAAATGAAACTCTGTGGGAAGGGAAGAGAAATAAGCCATTTTTTCACATTCGGCCTCAACATTTCACTTCAGATATGGTAGTGTATCTCTAGGAAACTATACACACAAGTGTGTGTGTGTGTGTGTGTGTGTGTTCACTTCCTTCCATAAAAACATGACCCGAACCAAAATAATGTATTTTGTTTGCATGTAGAAAAGACATATTTATCACAAGGAAGTCAAATAAAATTACTAGGAAGGAGTCAAATCAAATCAACTCTAGAATTTGAGTCTTCTCAAAACCTTTGAATCATTTCAAGTTTGCTCAGGGAGCTTGGGCTTTTTGGGTTAGGCCAGAAGGGAATTCCCCAGCCCCTCTTCTACTCAACCCCCAATATTAAAGTGACATCACTGGACATTGTCAAATCACTGACAGGCAGTTATTTTTCCTTATATAAGGAAAATAATATAATTATGGGTAAAAGAGGTACAAGGTGGGGGGAAAAGTTTTCCTTAGTTTGTCTTATTGCACATTAAAAGAAAGAAAAAAAGGGTACAAAAGTCATCAAGAATTTTCAGGATATTTGGGGTTAAACTTTATCATTCTAATCATTTAAGGATCTTCAATTAAATGCCATTGAAAATCTACTTACAAGCAGATGAAATATTCCTCCTTTCCCTTTTTCTCCTCTATTTAAAAACTGCCCAACTATTAGCTAAAAAATATCATAGTTTTGCAACTTCATTACTGATTCTTTAATGAGTCTGGTTATGTAACTAAATGCTTTGCATTTTTGAAGGGGGTGATATCATACATGATAAAGTTTGTACAGAGAGAATGCCAACAACAGTAGGAAGACTGGCGGTCACAATCACAGCTCTGTCTACGTTTGCATTATCCAGGGTAGTTACCTGCTGCTGTGGGTGACATTACAGTCTCCAACCCTAAAACTGCTGGCTGAGCCTGAATTCCCCATTATGAAAGGAAAATAATGTGAACTATGCAAATATATTTGCATATTCAGACGAACCTTCATTTACTATGGCCACAGATAATTTGAACAAAAGGAGTGCACCTTACTTCAGAAACCATTAAATTGTAAACTGCAGTATTTAATAATAAAATAAGCAGAGCATCCTAATTCATTCAATGTGCTCATCATTGTTCTCCTTGATGCCCATAATTACTGATGAATGAGGGAGGGTTACCCACTGGTGATTTAGGTCTTAGGCTCAGTGCTGTAGTTAGGGGTGCAGATCATTTTGTTCATGAGTAATCAGCTCACTTATGGAAGAGTGTGGCTTTTCAGGAATTGCGCTATCCTGGAAGACACATTCTGTTTACCAACAGTAAGCCCAGGGATCCTAAGTCCCACCATTCCACTCACTAACTGTGCTTTTAAAAACTCATATTAAAGAGTTTTAATCCCCAAGAAAAAATATAAACCACGGTAAACTTTCAGATTGTTTCTTTCCTAAATAGATTATGAAAATAGATTGTCTAGAACAGTGAAATATTCTCCTATGTAGATAGGTTTGTCTGCATGTCATTTCAGTGACTGTTTGCATGATGCTTAAATGACCATTTATTGAGGAAAATTATGCTGAGAGTAGGGAGATTTGTAGGCATTAAAATCAAGTTTCTAGACAACAGGGCAGTTTTATTTCACTGCAGCTGTTTAGGTGAACCTGATGTTTCAAGAGAATTCCCTCACTCATTCAGAACCAAGCCACAGATGGGATCACTTGTTTTCTCTTCTTGAACTTTGTTGTTTACACATTGGTGATAAAATTATTCATTGGTGATAAAATTATTCATTCTGTGTTTGCTGAAAGTGTTACTAACTTTGAGAAACAAGCAAAATATGCCAAAGTCCCTTTCCAATTAGTATAAATATCATTTCAAGTCAAGAAATGAAAAAATAATAAATATAGCACTGACTTGAGCAAGATAAATTAGATGAATTTAGTTCGTTCTGTAATAAAAATCTCTCATGGTAACCTTCTTTCTCATTCACTTTCTACAGAAGTTAGACTTGATATAATGTATCATGTTACATGTTTTTTGGAACTCTTTGGGAACACAGATAATTTTCTGCATGATTTCCACAACTGACTCAACATCTGGGCAAGTAAGTTAAAATTAAGATAGCTCTTATGAAAATCAGTTAAAGTATGACATCTTTATTTCATTACTATATAATTATTATTTTACTCAACTCCTTCCCTTTGGTTTTACCATACACATGGCTGATGATTTTGGGGGCAGTGTTAATAATTGATTTCAAGCACTCTTTATTGTGTTCTAGATTAGAAAATACTCTTGACGTTTCAGAATCTCCAGAAGTTTAAAAAACAATCCTTTGAGACGTTCAGCCATCTGCCACTCAGCCAGTCTTTGAGGAATGGATGTAAGTACTTAACATTGAGAAGACAGGTCATTCTTCATCCTTTAACCTTTTTTTTTTTTTTTTTTTTACATTTTTCAACTTTTCTCGAAGGGCAGTTAAACCTATCTGTGGAAGCTACCTGAAACATTCTCTTTCTCATGAGGACAGAAAGAAAAGGGTACAGAAGCGAGGCTCTATAATCACCCGGGCACGCGAGATGAAGAGTTAACGCATTACAGCACCATCCAGGATGAAGTGGAAGCATCGCAGCAACCACTGTAGGTCAGAAAAAAGCTATTTTAGAAATATGATCACTGCAGAGATACTCCTCAAAATGATCCCTTCATTGAAAATAGATTAACATGATCAGAAAAATCATGACAAAGAAAGCAATATAAAAATTTACATTTTTTTGAGAGAATAGAAACAAGGCTCATGGATTTGCCTGTCTACATTTGGAGATCACTACTGATGCTTAACACAAGGTTTTGTTTCATGTCCTTAGAAAATTTAAAATGGTGCTTCTTATAGAAAGGATTCATCGGTTAAACCATAGAAAGAGAGACAGCTCTGATGAGCAGGTTATGGGATCAGTCCTTACACTTCTGCCGTGATAAGCATTGGGTTCTTTGCTTTAACATCAATTTCATTTCCGTTTTCACAGAAGGAAAGCCAGAGATGCACAATACTGTAATCTGGAAGCTTAGGTAAGGCAGCTAAAAGCATCGCCCTCGATTGCACAGACTAAGGAAGGTCTGTTTTTGGCTACATTAGCAGCCTGCTAGAGCCAACAGCATTTTGCCACGCGAGATGTAAAAACAAAGATCCACAGCGAGGGAGGCAAGTGCTAAATCAGGGACGTGGCGGTGTGGGTTGTCTAGGTGATAGGAACAGGCTACGAAAGCAAAGCCCCCGGTGCCAATGGGTTCAAATCCAGTCAAGTGAATTAAGGCTACTAGAGAAGTGGCTGATCTGAAGAGTCCATTCCAATCGAGCAGTCGGGAATTGATTCGCTCTTGAAGACACAAGGAAAAGCTTAGAGGAAAAGCAAGTTCTTGGGAGGAAAAAAAAAGTGAAGCACACACATGCACGTGGTCTCTCAGGTGAGAAAAAAGGAAAACATGAGAGAGGTCAAAGCAATCCAACTGCAAGGCAAGGCAGGCGTTTGCTTCCAGTTCACAGTATTTGCAGTTAGTGGTACAGTGAGGTCTACGGGAGTGGTGGAGAGGACAGAGTCTGCCCGGAAGAAAGGGGGGGAAAGAAGTCACATGACAACACAGCATTGACAGCGCTTTTTCTTTTGGGTACCTGGGGCCGGCTCTGTAGCCAGGCTCTCTTCCTTCCCTTCTGGGGATGAGGGCTCTGTGGTGTCTGAGGCCGGCCTCCCAGACACAAGCTCTGCGGCGTTGCCGTCGATGGTGGACACGTCCGTCACTGTCTTCTCCCTCAGCGACTTCTCATCATCTTCGTCGATGAGGACCAATTCGGCCTTGATGGTTTCGTCATAGCCTAGCACCTTTTTAGTCTCTTCTTCATCCTCGATATTTTGGTAGCCCATAAAAATCATGGTGACGGGCTGATCCAAGTTGCCCTCCGGCCCTTCGGCACTGGGGGCTCGGGTCTGCTGCCCTGGGTTCCCAGACGCATGGTCTTTCCTAGATCTCTGGACCATTTCTAACTTGGCTTCTTTACAGAGCATGTGTTCCTTCGGGTGGCTGAGGCTCCCGTCGGCAATCACAGTCCTTTCGGCCAAGGGCCCTCCTTTCAAGCTTGATTGTCCCGCCTTCTGAATAAGCTCTTCAACATCCTTTGCACTTAACGCGTGCACTCCGTTTTCTACTATGGTGCCTCCTGAGTGCACCTCATACACTACTTTGGTACCGTCATCATAGACCTTGACTCCTCTCTGTTGGACCCCCTCTGGGCCAATGGTAGATGTAGAGAGAATCTTGGTCTCTCCTGTTTGTTTGTCTGTCTCCACATTAATTTCCATGGCGTACATAGCTTGAATGAAAACAAGAGAAAGGAAGTGCATGTTACAACAAAAAAAGCCAGTGAATGGTTAATTGCCAAACAGACAAAAAAATAAAAAAAATAAAAATAAAAAACGAGGCTCCATGCCCTTTCTATCCTAACCGCCAAGCATCTTGCATGTTAGAGTGAGGTGCACGTTGTGGACAGAGGTGATCATGTATGTGTCTCAACACAGCAGCTTAACAAGCACTGGGAAGACAGGTGTACAGAGACTGCCTCTCAACAACACTCATACTTTTAAGGAGCATCTGCTAACAGCTGGCCACAAAAGACATTAGATCGAGGTGTAAGGAATTACAGGGAGGCTGGCAATACGCAGGTTCACCTTCCTGGAGGGCTTCCTAGGCTGAGAGACAATTCTAAAGCCCTTGAAGAAGATGTGTCCCAGTTACGAAATCTTAAGAACTTTTCTTTATCGCACGTTCTCCCATTTTTTCCCCCTACATTTCCTTCAACTGCTAATGGACAACACACGCTGGTTTCCACGGGTGGAACAAGCCCAGCCTCCACTGAACTATAAAACCTTTGCAAAAGTTGAAAAGGGAGGAAACCATTCATCCTCTGTGCTCTGTGAGCACCTGTCACCTCGCTCAGTTTCTAAAACAAGAAGCCAGAAAAGAACGAGAGTAGCACCAGCCTACGGCACTGGACGCTGAGGATGTTGGCCACAGAAGGCTGTTTCCTTCTTCCACGCTCACAGTGCCACATCCTTGTGAGTCGGCCCCATCAGCTCTTCCCCATCTGTCTTCTTTCTGTTCCGCTGTCACTAGTGTGAGGCGCTCACGTCCCCTTCCCTAGATTCTGGGAAGAGATTCCTGCTGGAGAAAGGATGCTCCAGCCTCATGCTCTCCAATTCACCCCAACCCCATGGCCAGCTGGACATTCCCGAGCACCAGCTCTCTCCTGTCCTGTGGACTCCTGCAATACCTCGCACTTCCCAGCTGGTAGCCTCCCACGCTCCTTTTGAGGCACACACTCTGGATCAGAAGAAACTGGGTACAGACTTTTACCATAAAGCCACTGGCTCCAGGATCCCTCAAGCTGGATGACTCTCGGACACATTAACCTCAGCAGGTTCAAAAATGATGTCAACGTCTCTCAAAACTCTGCCATAGTCTTGTTGTTAAGTAACCCCAGCACCACTGCCTGAATTTGCAAGCCAAGAGCTGCAGAATCACACCTGGTTTGTCCTCCTTTTCCTGCTTTCTCACAGCCGAATTATCACTGACAGTAACCCATCCCCCTTCCGACATCACTCTCCATTTCTCAACTCCACCTCTGTCACCAGGGCCTGGTTCAGGCCCTCTTCCACGCTTGCCACAGCAGCCCTGTTTCTGATTTTACCTGACACTTTTTTCTTGCCACTGCAGTCCAAGGGACTTCAAACCACAGCTGGAAGGCCAAAGGCAGCCTGATGCCTGTTTCTGTAGGGCCAGAGGAGGTATTTGAAAGGTGAGGGACAGAGAGAAAGAGAGAGACACATTCTACCTGCTGGTTTATTCCAGAGTTCCTGTAACAGCTTGTTCTGGGTCATGCTGAAGCCAGAAGCCTAGAACTCCATCCAGGTTTCTGATGCTGATGTGGGTGGCAGGGACCCAAGCACTCGGGTCATTATCTGCTGCCTTAGCAGAAAGCTCAGTTGACAGGGGAGGAAACAAGATTTGAATCAGCACTCTGATGTGAGATGCACGCATCTCAAGTGGTGGCTTGACTAATGTGCCATAATACCTGCCCCTGGCTATAGATAGATAGATAGATAGATAGATAGATAGATATAGATAGATAGATTGATTGATTTATTTATTTGAGAGGCAAAGTTGCAGACAGAGAGGGACAGACACACAGAAAGAGGTTTTCCATGCACTGGTTCACTCCCCAAATGGCCACAATGGCTGGAGCTGGGCTGATTCAAAGCTACGAGCCAGGAGTTTCTTCTGGGTCTCCCACATGGGTGCAGGGGTCCAAGCACTTGGGCCATCTTCTGCTGCTTTCCCAGGTCATTAGGAGGGAGCTGGACTGGAAGTGGAGCATCTGGGACTTGAACTGGTGCCGATAAGGGATGCTGGCGCCACAGGCAGAGGCTGACCCTACTACACCACAGCACCAGCTCCGTGGCTTTTATATTTTTAAAGGGTTGAAAAGAGAGTAAGGGGTGGAAGGAAGGAAAAAGGGAGTGAGTTGAGAGGGAAGGAAGATATGAAAGGAAGGGAGGGAGGGAGGGGAGGGAAAGAGGAGAGGAAGGGAAGGCAGAACAGAAGGAAATGGAAAGGAAAGGAAAAAGAAATAATATGCAACAAAGACCATACATTATACATAAAGTGTAAAATGTTTACAGTCTGGTCATTTATAGAAAAAGTACGCCAACCGCTGCAAACCTGGGCTCCATCCTGTCCACAAAAGCCCTTTGTCTGATTCTTGTACACAATACACAGCAAACTCCCTAGCTTGGCATATAGTTCCTTGCAGAAGTTGTCCATAACATTTCTTCTCTGTGTTGTCTCTGAAGTCCCTCCTGTTCTCCATACAAACTTCCCGGGCCCCAGCAAACTTCTCACTATTCCCAGAATTCCACTCAACAGCCTCCCATGCCTGCTTCTCTATGACCTGCCATCCCTCTGCCTAGACTGCCTTTCATCCCTTCTCTGCTGGTAGGCTTCTCGCCTCCTAGGCCTCATCATTGCCTGAGTTCTTACCTCTTTTGAATAGCTACAAATTCCCCCCTGTGTTAGGAAGATGTAGACTCTGCAGCCATATGCTATGTCATCAAAGAATACCAGCCCTACATAAATATCTAAATATGACCTTTCAGGATTCCCTTCTCCAGAAAAATCATTCTTTTGAGTTTTTTAAAAAAATCTATTTTATTTGTTTGAAAGGCAGAGCTGGGGAGGCGGGTACAGAATCTTCCATCTGCTTGTTCACTCCCTGAATGGCTGCAATGGTAGGGTTGGACCAAGCTGAAGCCAGGAGCCTGGAACTCCTTTTGCATTTCCCACATGGGTGACAGGGGCCCAAATAGTTGGGCCATCTTCTGCTGTCCTCCCAGGCACATTAGCAGAGAGCTGGATTGGAAGTGGAGCAGCTGGGACTCGAACGGGTTCATGTGGGACACAGCATTGCAGACTATTGCCTAACCTGCTGTACCACAATATCAGCCCCTCTTTTCCATTTCTACACATTCAAATATGACGCATCATCAACAACAAGGTCAAGTACCCCTCTTCCACAAACTTTTTTTCATCCTCTCATCTCTAAGTCACCCCTCTCTTCTTCAGATTCTCCAAATATTTTTCTAGGCTTTTCTGAGGACATTGAACAATTTTCACTCAGTAGCATAATTATTTGTAGGAATGTTTCATCCACTTGATAGGTTTTTGTATCCTTGAGTTCTAGTTTCCTGCCCTACATATTTCTACTATGGTTCTCCTTTCCTGCTTGCATCTACCTTAGAGACTTTGGCATTGATGGTACCTGACACATTGACCTGTGAAACAAACATGACTCACTAGAGAGTCTCATCTGGTTATATTAATTAGTCGCAAATATTTTGCATAATATAGCATCAGTGAAAATGTCCACATGGTGATTCATGTTTGAACTGGTTTTTAAAAATATTGTTCTATTTGCTTGTATATTAAGACACAATTCGCTCATGGTTAATCCTTAACTGATAAGATTATGAAGCAAAACCCAATGCCTGATCTTCATCATACTCATTTTCAAAATTTCACTTGTTCAATGGAAAAATCTTGAGCTTCCTCAAATGACACCAAAGGGAGGCCAACCAGTATAAAGACCATGAGCTCATACACAATGACTCTGATATCAAAAGAATCATCTGTTATTTTTTGACTTTCCACAAAATGTACCATCAGAGAAATGAATAGGCATTGAAAATTCTGCATAGACTCCAAAAGCCTGCTCTTGAACTGCTTCAGTTATATTAAAAGTTACAGTTTTGGGTTAAAAATATTATAGTCTATTACTATTAACACACTCATGGGACCTATTTATGAATAAATTCATTAAATAATGATTATCATGATTATTATTATTATTATTGTCAGTTTGTAGGTATAATACCTAATTATCCCCCTAAACATCCAGTAATATGTGAACAAATGCAATCAATACAGAATATGGAACAAAATATTCTATTTTCATCTGCATATGTGCTAGGAAACAGACTATGAATATGGAAATGTGTGGACATGGCCCTCTCCCTCCACCCTCCCATGAGATGCTGCCATGGGTTAGTTCAATTATGTCTTCTCTGTTGTCCTAACCCCCAATCTCGTTTTGTCTTTTCCTGTTCCTAGTATCAGAGACAGGACAGAAAGAAGAAAATGATGATAAGTTCTTTGTAAGAAAAGCTAAGTACAGTCACATAATAGAGAGATGAGGGAGGACTTTAGTGGGCGGGAGGGTAAATGTTGTTTGGATATGGACAGAATATGCTATGTTGGTGGATGATATTTTGGAGAACATGATGGCTGGAGGGAAAAAAATGGGATCTGAGAAGAACTGCTGCATGGAGAGAAAAAGTAAGTCACTTTTACTACCCTTCAGAGACAAAAGTAAAGACCAAAATTCATTTTTTATCGTTTTTGGGCCTCCAATTTTAAGCTGACATCTCTCTGGGACTGAACCACATGTGACATGGTTTAATTACAGTTACATATTTACATCTGCATATTATACATGAGTTTTTCAGTGTTTCTAGATTATGAATATTTTAACCCATCTTTATAATAAAATATCATGTATTATGCTATAAAATGCAACATCCACATGTAGTCTTTTCACCAGATAAAACATAAGGTTTCAAGGGAGCCAGTTATAGTAGATTCCTTGAGGGTGTAATCCTCCATCCATTTCTGCATTTGATTGTAGGAAGCATAATTACACAGGTGAACACTTGGAGATACTCTGGATTAACCCAAAGGCAATCTGTAGTCATCATGAACATG